TGGTATCTGCTAGAGAGCTTCACTATAAAGATATATTTCTTCCATTTGTAAGTAACTGAAAAGTAGCTTGAAGGTTACACACTGAAATTATGTGAACATTCTGTTCCTCAACATTCTTTTTACCCAATGGTGTTATCCATGCCTAAGATAGCACTGAGGTTGCAAACTAATTAATTTTCTTTCAGTCCTCTTCCATTCATTAACTGGCATTCTTCTATAATAAAAAGCTTTCCTTATTTCCACCCCATGCATTTTTGTTTATTCAATGCATTGAATCAAATACATTATTTATTGTTTTTGATATTCAAGTTGTCCCAAATATCATCAGTGTCAGCCTTTTTGGACATGACCCTATTAGCATTTTTGCTCTTCCTTGCTTTGTGGTACAATTTATACAAGACTTGCCTGTATTTTCCTTGTCCCAGACCTGGAATCAGTCATTTCTCTTTGAAAAGGGGATGCCAGGGACCAGCAGTCAGTGTAATGGCTATGTCGCTGGTCTCCCATGTAGTTGACCACTATTTGAGTCCTGGACCAGGTTGCTTAAACTCATGTCGAATACATGTGTGTGCGTGCCCAAGATACTGAGAAGAGAATGGAGGAGAAGGGACTGTGGTGTGGCCATCCCCCCTGGGGGGTGATTTGCTGTCTCTCTGTCTCTCTGATGAGCACACGCACCCTATAGCAAAAGCCTCTCGAAAAAGAAAGGGATGCCATTTAGAAACAAAGAACCAGGTACTAGATATATCCATTGCTTTGGGGTCACAGTCATTTCAAGACTGATTCAATGAATAACAGGGTTTTTGTTGTTGTCATTTTGTTTTAAATAATGAGTTCACATCGACAGTCTCAGTTGAATATTATAGATTTTTTCTTTGCACGTCTAATTTTGTATCTGTATATCTTTTTCTTAGACCATAAATCTTAGCATAAATATATTTACTTTTTTGCTTTATTCTTGTGAGATGTGTGTGTGTGTGTATTTCAAAGTGTAATTATATTACTACTATTAATAAGTCCACTGATAAAGCTTAAAACTTCTTGGCAACTCTTGTTTTTAAAAAATTATTTATTTAATTTATTCATTCGTTTTATTTTAATTTGTTGTTTTTAGAATATATCTCATTAAGGATGAGTCAGAGGACAGTGTTGACAAGGAAGTTGAAATAACTGCTTTCTCTGTGTGATTATGTTATCAAGTTGATCAACATTTAGAATCATCTAATATTTTAGTGTTCGATTTTCTATTATTTTCCTTGTGATTTGTTTATAAATAATTATTTCATTTATTTATTTATTTTCATTTTCATTTGACCAGAGAGGGACAGAGTGAGAGAGAGAGAGAAGAAAAGTGAGAAATCAAGCCACCAGGCTTGGGTCTCTAACTACAGTTGTCCATGTGGGAGTCTAGTACCCTTATCTATCATGCCACCTGCTGGCCCCTAATTTTATTTTTTAGATATGTAAAACAGTAATATGACTTAAAAGTTAAAACTATATAAGGATGTAAAATTAGAGTAATCTAGCTCTTATTCCTATTTTTTCTGTCCTACTTAACATCTATCCCTTGTGGTAACCATTTTCATTAGTTTAGTCCTATGATAACTTTATTAAGATATAGTTGACAAACCATAAAATCTCCTTGTAAGGGGTACAATTGAATGGTTTTTAGAATATTCACAGAATTGTAGAACTGTCATCACTAATTCCAGAAATTTGCACCACTTCAAAAAGAAATCCTATGTCCATAATCAGTCACTCCTCATTCCTTTACAAACTTTTAATGACCAGGCCTTAGCAAACACTAATTTACTTTGTCTCTATAGATATGTCTATTCTGAATATTTCATGTTAATTTAATCATATAATATGTGGACTTTTGTGTCTTATTTATTTCACATTGCCTACTACTTTCAAGGTTCATCCATGTTGTAGCATGTATCAGTACTTTGTTCCTTTATATGGCTGAATATAACAGCATTTTGTTGTATAGGTATACCACATCATTTTTATCTATTCATAAGTTGAACATTTGGGTTGTTTCCAACTTTGGAAAATTAGGAGTGATGCTAATATGAACATGTATGTACAAGTTTTTTTGTTTTATTTTGGAGAGGTTTTTGCTGTAGGGTGCATGCACTCACCAGAAAGACAGAGACAGAGAGATAGAAAGCGAGAAATCATCCCCCAGGTGGATGGCAACACTGCAATCCCTTCTCCTCCATTCTCCTCTAGGGATCTTGGGCACGCATGCACACACGCCCAGCGTGAGTTTAAGCCACCAGGTCTGGGTCTTGAACCACAGTAGATTACGTGGGAGTTCAGCGACACAGCCATTACTCTAACTGCTGGTCTCTACAAGTTTTATGTGAACATATATTTTCATTTATCTTAGGTGCATGCATGTGTATATATGTATTTATGTGTGTCTGTATATATGTATACACATATGGAATTGCTGGGTCATGTTAACTCTATATTTAACTTTTGGAGTCACTGTTTTTTCTCAATTTATCTACTGTGTTTT